CGCAGCATTTAGTTCAAAAAGGACCAAATGCCCACAATGATCTGCTGGGCACTACAGCATATGCTATTTTAAAAACCCAAAGGCGATTTTCAAAATAAATAACAAAACAAAATAAATGAAACACCCCCCACCCCCCACCCCCAGTACACTGACACCACAGAGGCATGTCAAAAAAGCTTCATCAGTGGTTATTCACAAAAATCTTTAAAAGCTTCAAAGCGCTGCAGTGAGTTAATCATTCACTGCCTCTGAACACAATTCTGATGTAGACCCCTGTTTAGCTGCGTGCCAGACCCAGGGATTCGTTGTCACGGTTCCTGGGAGCCTCCTGAGCAGAAGGGGACTGAGCTCCATCCAGGCTGCGCTCCCACTGTCATACCTGGCTGGGGCAGACGAGCAAGGGCATTTCTACAGGGAGCTTACATTGCTCGCCACCGCAATTCCCCTTCTGCCAGTCCTCACACTCAGGGAGGACAGCGAGACATGCAGACGTTGCCCGTGCCATCCATAATCGCACTACGGGTCAGCCTGTGCAGAAGAAAGAGCACAGCAGGGCATCCTTCTGCTCAGGCCAGAGCAGGCCAGTGAGGTTCTGTCTGCGAGGACAAAACAGGGATAAATATTGCTCTGCATCCCCACACACCGCTCCTTCTACAGCCTCTTTTGAGCCCCTGTATCTTTCTGTGCACGTATTTATGGAACTGCCTTTCAGGCCTGTCCGTACCCCTGCGAAGAAGGTGCCAGATGGTGCCTGTGCCCAGAGAAGTGCTGGGACATCTTCCCTGTGGGACCCTCCCAGAGATGTCTTACTGACATCACCTCTGCTTCCATCTCCATGGAGCTCTTGAGCAGCAAGCAGATTCTCCCTTTTCCTTTGGAAAGGGATCAGTAAGAAAGACAGTTAACTTTTTGCAGAATGACAAAACTGAGTAAAGAAACATTTAAATAGAAGCTGTTACACTGGTTTTCTGAAACGCTGCCCTTCTTGCACGTATCCAGCCTGCAGTTCTAGAGGCTCTCCCGACTAACTGGAGAGGAGGACAAAGACGGAGCCCAATTCCTGAGCGGGGAGCTTGCAGGAGCGCGCTCCCCTGGCCTGCGCAGCAGCTGCTGCCCGCAACGGCGGTGGGGACCCGCAGCTGCTGCCAGACTCAAGGGAGGCTTGTGACCCACCAGAAGAATTGCTCCCCTCTCACTCAAAGGCTCTGCGCCTCCTCGCAGTGGCTGGCAGCGGCGTGCACGCTTACTCAGCGCTTTCCCCTTCGACAGGTCACACCAGAAAAGCAGAGGCAGCGGCGCAGGGTCAGGGCAGGAGTAGCTGAACTTGAACACCGGTGACTCCAGAGGGATTTGTCCGTCCTTCCCAGCTGCCAGGGCTTGGGGGTGTTCAGGCAGGAACTTCACAAAATTCTCTTGGGAAGGACAGATTTTGCATCTTGCTTTCCCTGGGTGGGAAATACATTGTTCCCCAAGAGCTACAGCAGTCCTGAAAACTTCAGTAACTTCAGTGACACTGTCCTGCTTCGTGGCACAAACAAGCACCAGAGGTGCGGGGTGGTACGGGGTGTGACTGAGTACGGCACAGCTGCAGAGTGCCATGTCTTAGTTTCAAAGTAAAACACAGTCAGCAGAGCAGGGAAACCAGCCCTTGTGTTCATGGCACAACTGTTGTGAAGCTTAATTTGCTCTTGTCCTGAAGCAAGAACTGAGCCAAAGAGAGTAAAAATAGCTAAACACGTTATTGACACGATGACAGTTATGACTAAGCCCATACCAGATATCCCCGCTCTCCTCCCACACCCATCTCTATGATGTGAGTGCCCGGCAGTGAAGGAGAAGGCGTGCAGAAGACCCGAGAGCACTGCTCAGGCCAGAGACCACCGCCCTGAACACAGCGCGGCACACGCAGGTATTACCATGTAACTCCCGAAATTCACGGGCAATGGACACCGAACATGGGTACAAGACGTTGGTGCCTCTACAGCTTCCAGACTCAGGTCCGAACTGTGAAAGTCAAATTCAGCCCTGACATGAGCAGGTAAAAAAACTGATAAACTCTAGTGGAATCACATCTGCCTTTCACCCCTGTTCATCAAGAGCGCCGAGCACGTGCTTAACGTGGAGCACGTACACACGTTCCCCAAAGGCGATGGGAATAACCACGTGCAAAGACAGCCAACATTGCTGCAGCAGCTATAAAAGCACATCGTTTTAATGCTTTTTTTTTTTTCAAATGCAGCTAGATGGTGCTGTACAGTTTCAAAATATATTAAGAATTTTTGTTAATTACTTTTGTTAAGCAATCTTTTAAAGTTCTTAAAACATATATTTAGAGGAAGGAGGTAAAAGCAAAAAATATAAATGAAGCAAATATACTGTTATGAAGTGTTTTTACAAATATTCTCACTAATGTTTTTGCGATCGTACTCGCCATACATCCATTTTCGTTTCGTTATCACTCTGTCTTTCACAAAAGTCTACTATACGGCAGTACGTACATTCTCCCTACATCTGGTCTTCCTGTCTGCACAAGATGAAGTTACTCAGGTTCCAATGCTGTAACTGGAGAGAAATTTGACTGACGTGTAGTTTGTATGCAGGAAGAAAAGTACAGCCATATTCTTGTTGTCAGAGTCTGTATTAGTATAAAGACCTACATCAAACTGCATTTTCTGCATATGAAGAAAAAATAAAAGCTCTTTCAATACAATTCTAATAACCTTTGATTTGGTGAGTGATTGTAATAATTGTATTACTTTTTGAAAAGTGATGTTTTGGTAAAATGCAATTTAAAATTATTTGTTCTGAAATAAAAGCATGGAAAAAGAGCACCTCAAGTTCTCAATCATTACAAACATTAAATATCTTTTCTTCCATTAATTTTACTGAGATAGTATGTTTTTTTAAAAAAAAAGGAAAACCCAACATATTTGGCAAAAACAACATTCAAAGGCTGCAGAGAGAAATCCAAGCAGCTGGCCATTAACGGGAGGTTTTACTGACTGCTGCCTCTAAAAGGCGACAAATCCTCTGTGAGCACATGTCCTTTCTGGTGAATCTGCTCTGATCCTCCAGATCCCTGCTTCAGACCTAAAGGTTTTAAAGATGTACATGTCCGTTTCTTTGCTACTCACAAAGTCTTCCAGACCTCATGGAGATGTTCCAGTCCATTTTCACCACTAATGTGTTCTCTCGCAGTCATTCTCCTCCAGACTCGAAAGAAATCCATCACTCCTCACCTACCTGCGGCTCGTCAGCCTGTGACACGCCCTCTGCTACTCCTTCTCAGAGCACATCTAACTGCGAGGATTTTTCTTAGGCTTCTTTTTGCATTTTGCACAAGTCATTAACATTTCAAAACATTACAGCAACTTATGGTTCTCTAATAAATCATCAGAAAAGTTCAGCCCAGTGCTGTCATTAGCCTGGTACCACACATGCTTCTACATGTTGCAAGGAAATGTCATGCTGTATTTCTAAATACAGTGCAAACAAATGTTACCCTAAAATAACCACGGATTATGGTACAATCCCAAAGGCAAAAGGACTGAAGGCATGAAACAGTAATTCCACGAAATTGCTATTTCCACAGAGGACGGAAGTAAGGATGGGTAACCCGGGAGGAATACAGACCTTGTCCGACACACAGGGATGAGGTGAGGAAAGCTAAAGCCCAGCTGGAATTGAACCTGGCCAGGGCAGTCAAAGCCAACCAGAAAGGCTCTGTGGGCACCCAGGTGACAACAGGAAAGCTCAGGAAAACGTGCACCCACTGCTTTCCCTGGGAGCGTCGGGGCTGTCCAGCCTGGGGAAGAGAAGGCTTGGGGGGATCCCATCCATGTGCACGAACCCCTGCAGGGACGGGGCAGAGGACAGAACCAGGCTCTTCCCAGCAGTGCCCCATGACAGACGAGCAGCCATGGGCACACACGGAGACACAGGAGGGTCCCCCTGAACGTCAGGAAACACTCTGTCACCGGAGGGTGACCGAGCGCTGGCACCAGTTGCCCGGGGAAGTGGTGGAGTCTCCATCCCTGGAGATACTCAAAAGCTACCTGGACACCGTCCTGGGCAACTGGCTCTGGGTGGCCCTGCTTGAGCAGGGGGTGGAGACGACAACCCCCAGAGGTCCCTGCCAACCCCAACCAGCCTGCAATTCTGTGATTTTGTGAAAGTTATCATTCTTAAAAGTACTTAGAACTGTAACTGAAGCATTTATAATGCCACCGATAATGATGTCATGCTTGATAAAATGGACTTTGTTCACACTGTTCCTGAGAGATATAGGTTATTTATTTTCTCTAAGGAAGCTGATTAATGTGCCAGGCAAAACACATCACCACCAGTGGAGTTGTCCGTACCAGCATAAACACAATTGTTAAAACTTTTTATTTCCTTAAGGTGGTGTAAAGGAAGTTACGCATCTATCTTGTACAATATGAGCCATTATATATGGCTGAAATTTAAGAAATAGAACAATAAACAAAACATCCACAAAGGACCATCTCTGGAAAGTCTTCAAGTCAGAGGTATTCGCGTAATATGTGAATGTGATTTTATTTTAATTTAAAGGCAACGGGTGCAAGTGACAGAGTTGGGATCAGAGTCAAGAGCAACTCCATATATTCTGCCTTTACGTTCAGTGAAGCATGAACATGGTCTACTATGCAAACCAAGTTAAACTGAGAATTAATCAATGATAGTTGCTCTAGATTTATAAACAGACGCAGAACAGAATTTGGTCCTTACACTACTATTATAGCTGGTAAGAAAGACACCAGGTCTGCAACTCCTGACAGATGACCATTTTGTGTTCTGTTCAATGCCAGAGAAAAAAAAACACGCAATGTTCTATTCATATCAGCTCTTTGGTTACCCTTACCTAAAACAATGGTTAATCCTGACATAAAGTAACAGAGCCACTAACCGCACCTAGTAAAAATTTGGATGCATCGAACTAAAGGCTCTTGAACAGAAGAAAAGAGTTTCCTTGGGGTTACCTGTCGCAGTAGCTCCTCCTGACGCATCCTAATTCGCTCCCTCTCCATCTGGATCCTCTGGAGCCTCAACTTCTGCTGCTGCTGCTGCTGTGTGGTCAGCGCGCTGGGCAGGTTCATCAGCCCCGGCTGCGGCGCCTGGGGAGGACGGCTCTGCTGCGACACGGCCGTGCCGGGCGTTATTTGGTGCTGGTGATTCATGACTGCGGGAAAGACAACACATCACGGATCATGAAGTAGATTTGTACTTTAAGACAACAGAGGGCTAGGACACACGCTGCGCATTTGCAGTGCGGAGTTATTAGAATTACCGTATTTCAAATGACTGAGGTAACTACTCCATCAGGCAAGATCCGTACTAGCAACTGCTTAATAAATTATTTTTATTATTTCGTATAAAACACGAATACTTACAATACAGCAAGCATTTATATTCATATTGGTATGTTCAAATATTTACCTAATGACGTGTAGCAAATGACATGCGAGTTTTCTAAATTGAAAATTCCTCTATAAATGTGTGCCTATAACATGCAGTAAGCTAGTAAAAATGTTCTCAATCTTAACATTTTCTTTATTGACAGATCTAAATTAATTATTGTACGGATAATTACCAGCATAAGTAATGAGCAGTGTGTGCGTTTTCCACCACGATGCAGGAGATACACGCTATTTTTATTTTCAGTGACCTGCAGGTGAGGGATGTCCCCGTTCCAGCGAAGAAGCAAACCTCGCAGGAGGACCCGCTCCCTTGTAGCCTTCCCCACTATCACAGAAGGGTCACAGTCTCCGTGTTCTCATCTATAACTGAGGGTTAATATTATTGTCACATCTCGCAGAAGTGTTCTAAGCACTACCTCACAGGCACTCACACATCACCGTAATGAAAAGCAGCTGTCACCAACGAGAAAAAAAGTGGCTCTAATGAAATCCAGCGATAAGCTGGACTGTCAGAAGTTACAAAAGCGGCGCAATAAAAAGACACCAGAAACTACCAGAAGCTACATCTTTCCATAGTATCTTTACCATACTTTCACTTACTTTTCCAAAGCAGGTGAAATGCACGGAAAAGACAACTAAATGGAGTCTGTGCCACATTCACAAATAACAGCAAAGCAGCAAGAATCACTGCTAACTGTCCCTGACAGTGCCTTTTTCTCTTTTGAACAAACACTGCCCGTACTGCCAATGGCCTCAGTCGCTCCGTGTTTCAGGACGCGGTGAGTGCAGAGTCAGATGTCTGAGTTTGCAGTGTGAGAATGACTCAAGAGCAGAACAGTGTCATTGCAAGTTACTAGTACATGATTCCAGTTTCATTATCAAACTCAGCAAAAATCTTTAGCAATCTTGTACTGAAAGAGCTGCTTTAAACAGCTACGTTAGGCAAGAATTGAGTTTAATGAGTTCTTAAACACAAGCCTGTATAAAATTAATCCAACAAAGATGCCAAGTTCCCGCCTGGCGTAACTCCTTTTTGAGTAAACCGTACCAGTTCCCAGCAATGCAACCTACTGTAACCCTTCCTGAACAGTTCCCTCGTTTCCTTCCCCACCTTCACATTTCCAGTAAAAAACACATACAGTACCTAAAGCCAGTCTGGATTACAAGTAGCAGCCATGTACTGCTTAAAAATTAATTGATATTTTTGCAAGGATTCTTTCGCTAATGGGGCAACAGCATAATTAATAAAGCTCTCGTCTTTTAACAAGAACACCCCAGATGCCAAAATACTCTCTAGAAGAGAGACAATATTTTTCTGTCCAAAGGACTAAGATTTGTATCTTCCTTTTTATCTTTCACTCATCGTTCTTACCACAGGAGAACTGAAATCTCAGCTCAGTTCTCTGCTTCTCAGACCCGCACACGTTTTGGCTGTGTTTGCGTCTGACCTTGAGGGGCAGAGCACAGCCAGCGCTGGTGGAATGTGCGCTGAAAGAAACGGGGCGATGATTTTACAGCCTGGATCAAACGTGTGACACCCATGCCATGAAAAATGCTGAACTTAACTCACTCTGCCAGTGCAAGCTAACAAATCCCAGCCAGCTTTCTGCCAAATCAGGTACTGACTTGTCTTTCTGCAGCCAGGGTCAGGCAGGTACGCCGGCACCAGGCCAGCATAAACTTGGCCTGCTTCATCTGACAGAAATACTGACACGTGCTCGCATCAGATCTGAATCGCCTTCTTCCTCCCGGGTGACCCAGCTTCACACCGGTCCAGCACGTAGAGACTGTGGAACCATTCGAGCGTGCAGCTGCTCGGTATTTTAGCTTCAGCAGCAAATCCAGCTCAAGAAATAATCCCAGTTAAAAGCAGCCCTGCAGAAATACAACCTTTTCACGGATTCAGCCTGCGTGTGGTCCAAACACAGCTGCACCCGCACAAATGACATCATGCTTCCCCACGAAACCAGCGTGGCGTCGTCCATCGCCTCTCCCACACCCAGGCTGACGTTCCTGCCCACGCGCTGCCCCTTCACTGCGCGGGCGAAAGCACTCCTGTGGCCACGCAGCAAACTAAAAACTGCCTGGGGATAAAAAGGAGGTACTTTCTGGCTAGATCAGTTCCCAGCAAAAGTAACCGGGTAGCCATGAAAATGATTGTGTGCAGCCAACGTAGGAGTCCAGGTGGGAAAAATAAGCTGTCTGCAGGAAAGATGGACCAAAGCCAGCACTGATCAGAAACTTCTCAGCGGTAAAAACCCCCGAGAGGTCATCAAGCTGCAGTGCCGAGAGGGGAACGGCTGGAATGAGAGCCGGGTGCAGAAATCATAATCAGAAAACAACATATGGAACCGCATTTTAAGACGCAGGAAATCTAGTCTTACTTATCTTAAAATAAGTAAGAAATATTATAAGTACAATTATATAAATTATACCAGTGTTGTTAAATTGCCAGGAACATAAGCACTTAGGCAGAAACTTAACTCTTCTTGTATGTATATGCATGTGCTTAAATTTTTGGCATGTTGATGGTTGAGTGAATAGAACAACCACGCTAAGAATCCAGGCTGGTTGAAGGATTATCACAATATAGTGAGTTCTCCGTAAGAAAACTGCTCCCATCTGAGCAGCACATGCAAGCGACAGAAGCAGGCAAAGTTAAGTAAAGACTGACAGCCTGTACTGTGTGTCTGGGATACAGGCAGAGCAGGGTGAGAGTTGTAGTACTGCTGCTCATGGCTACTTGTTGCCTTTGCTACATAAAATACTCCCTCCTTCTTCATCAGCTGGTCTGTACCCATGTTGTATCACAGCTCAAGTTACACATGTAAGAAGGCAAAGAACAAGACAGTATGAGAACGCTGAGGAATACTTCTCCTGGAGCTGTGGTCCCCTCCAAGCCATTTCTTCTCATGGGGACAGGGAATATTTTGGTCCAACGAACTCCGTATCTTGGAGTAAACTACTTTTCTTTCAAGCAATAGTACCCATTGTTAGGTACCATCAGGGACCTACAGGAAGCTCAGTACAACGAGTACAGCAAGCACTGCCACACCTTGACGTTAGGAGTATAGAAATTACATCACACTGAAACTCCTACAAGTCAAGTACACCAGAAGTATGTGATCATCTTTCTAAGAAACAACAAAAAATCCATTCTACTTCCAAACAAAATTATTTACATCACCTGGGTTTGATACAGCTACAGCAGAGCTTTACAAGTTTCAGTGCAGAGGTGCAGAAGGCAAAGGAGTGGGCAGGAGCCATCCTTGGCCAGTTCCACCACCTGCATTATTTGGCTCTGCTCCTCCTTCCATCAGTGCCCATCTCCTCAGGGGTTTGGGGGTCTACACCTCTGGACACAGGTCCACAGAAAACCAGATCTGTTCAAAACTACCGCTAATGGGAATGCCCTTTAAAGAACCATTGATGTGGGTCACAGACACAAACTTACCGAAGGTCATTTGAATGCGCTGACACCACACTTATCTCCAGCATACACTGCTTCGAGAAAAAACGGGATTCAGGTAACTCTCCATTCCGTTTGAACACCAGACATCTACCTTCATAGCAGCCCAAACTGGACAGACTCAGAAACACTAACTATAGAGGAGCCACATATCTGTGCTTTCAAACAAGTACAGACAGTTTTGTCAAGGTTATCTGGATAGAGTATGTTTATGATACAGTCTAACTTAAAATGCAGCATTAAATGATACAGTGATAACATAAGTTTTCCTTTTTTAATATCTTTCAAAACTAGTTTATAAATACGCAGATGCTGAGGCCCAGGGTTTGATCCTTCCAACTGCGTAACAGCATCATTCCACTTCAATTACTCCTGAATGCAATCACAATAATGTCCTATAAGCAAATTTAGGACATACGTGGTCTACTTTTGTGAAGCCAGATCTAGTTTTTGGACGTGTGCACACACACATATAATGTACATTAAGTTAATGTAACCTAGCTCAAAACACATATTAACTGGAAATAAAAATGAGACTGTTAGGCAATTCTTTTCTTGTATTACAGAAAACAAAATGAAACCAAAACCTGGGGCATTCTGCAGCACTTCCCACAACAACTGCTGCATTCAGCTGCTCTAAAAATATATCCCAAGGGTCAAAATGTTACATGTACAGTAATAAAACAGCTGACTCTGGGAACTAGCTGGAGAGTAATTAAATCATGACAGATTTGCAAGTGCTCTTTTGCCTTGGTTCCACTGAAAGGCACTGAAATGATTACGAGCAAGCCTCCAGTTAATGTGTTAAGTTTTAGGGCTTTTCTACACCAGCGGCTGGTGTGATGGCACGTGGGACGAGTCCTCTGTGGAACAGCCCGTCCAAGCGGCGCTCCAGCCTTTGGGAAAGCCCCTTCCTGGGGCTCCTGAGGGCCGCGCCACGCGGAAGGCAGCCTGGAGGGGCTCCCATGGGCCAATGACACGCTGTGCACGGCAGACGGAGTGCCTTCTCCTTGCCCCCCGGTCGCCCTGCAGCCACCGCCACCTTCCTCAGCACAGTTCCTGCCCCGTCTTAGCTGGTTTGGGCACTGAAGAGCTCCACGTTTGCACGTTAGCAAATACCCACCGGCAGCAGATCAATCCTTCATGTGCGTCGCACTGCCCCGCTCGCCCCGCCACTCTCCCGGCGGCGCCGCAGCC